AGAGGTGCTAGGTGCTGGTATTGGGTCTGGTTGTACAGGAGGGCCCCCGGTCTCTTCTACATAATTAAAAGGAAACCACCCAATGTGATTGTCTTTCCTCCCCCTCCACCAGCCATCAGCTTCCTTCTCAAGTATAACGACTTTATCTCCTTTCTCTAGCGATAACTCGTCTTCCCTTGTAGAGACGTACCTAAACTTGGCAATGGCGGGAATGTTAAGGGCCGGGCTTTTAGAAGGAACGACGAGGTCTGTCTGTTGGTACATCTCTGGTTTAAAGGGAGCCTGTCTACCCCCTCCAGCCGGAGCCATTGAGAATGAAGGCTGGGGACCAGGAGTGAATGATGGTGGTGGGGGTTGTTGTACCTCTTTGATATAATTAGAAGGAACCAGGCCTTGTCTCCCTCCATCATTCTGTACTGTCCACCATGATCCGTCACTGCTGACGATTGTTAGAGTCTCGTTCTTCCTAATGGTTAGCTCTTCATTGTCCTGAGCCATGTAATCATAAAGAGCTACACACCTCGCCATTATTGAGAATAGGGAGGGATGGAGACGGGAGAATAAGGTAGGGAAGCCTTCTATTGGTGAATTAGTGTCCCTCTATAGAAGGAGGAGAGTTATGAGTCCTAATAAGGAGAGGAGAGAGGGGGAGAGAGGGGGAAGCTCTCGAGGGACAAGAAGAGAAGGAGGAGGAGTAGGAGTCAAGATGTTCCAGGATACCTCCGGATACTAGCAGTAAAAGAGTATACGGACATAATCGTTAATTAGTGGGCGTGTCCTTATGCAGCCACACCCACTTTTGGGATTATATCCCGCCATTTTTCCCGCGGTTAAAGGGTTGGACAGTTCCTCATTAAATAAAAAAATGGAGGAAAGGGTCCAACTCTCAACTCTACTGGACTATGTGCTACAGAAGTCATATGGGGACCTCACTCAACTGGCGGAACTGTAAGTCTATCACGTGATCCTCTCCCCTAACCTTCACCTTCTTTAGGCTCCCAAGAAACAGTGATGAAGATAAGTATGTGGGCGTGGCAGTGGGTGTGGTTTCTATAATATTGTCATCCTTTAGGAAGTTACGTATAGTCCAGTACGCTAGGCACACAAGGCAGTTATTGATACAGTTACTGGCACTAGTGAAGTGGGCTCAAACCTCTAACCCCATCAGACACTGCACAGTACGTCCACCCCATACCTAATTAATATTCATACATGTACTTGTGTATTAATTATTAATACTATATAGTAATTAATGGATTGTGTGTTGTATTCAGTACATGTACAGTATAGCCTCTCTTAATGGACACTCTCTATAGCGTACACCTCCATTTAATGGACAGCACCTAGTGTACCAATTACATTCCTTACTGTATAAAATAACCTCCACATAAAGGACACTAATAATCATTAATAACTACTAATAACTGCAGGATATGTTTCGTGAGCTCAACCACCAGTCCTGGGTATATGTGGATACAGCTGATCAGTTAGCTCATCTATCAAGGACCACACTACAACAAGCAATGTAATGATAATGATGATAGTGATAATAATAATGATGATATAGATTATGTGTAGTTGTATACATGTATATATGTACATGTATTTATAATTGGTAGTTTTTGGTACATGTATATTTATTGTCCTATTTCAATACAACACACTTATTACGTTCAATGTATTATATGGAGGGGGAAATTTTGGCAACTTGTTAATTTTTGGTCATTGGCAGGTTTTAATATTATAGTGAATTTGTGTATGTTTACCATATAGCATGTACATAATGGTTCAAAATAGTTTTATTTTGACAAATGATCATCAAATGTCTCCCTCCATTATACTATACTTATTACCAGTTGGTCACATTCTGTCTGTCCCTCTCTTGTTCCAGGATGCCAATCCTCAGTTTAGCTCCAGCCATTGATGTACTAACCACTGGTTCTTACCCTCGACTCCCCACCTGCATCAAGAACAGGATCATACCCCGCCCACCACTCACCCCAGAGGAGAGAGCAATGACCTTCATACTGATAGAGGGAGTCATCAGATATAGACTAGCCAGGGAACACTTGCCATCAGCCATCATGAAAGTGAAGAGCATTGGTAAGGAATAACAGTGGCCATCAGTAATGTAATACCTGAGTCCCTTGATATCTGCCCTCAGCTTCACCTCAAGCAGATATCTCAGTCCTCAGGTATTACATTACTTATACACACACACCTCCAGACAGGCTGGACTACATGTACATGTATTAATTATTGACCACACCCACAGGAAATGGGCGTGTCACCCTAACTGTTCCTTATGAGTTTGAAGTGACCCTGACACTAGTAGGGGACGACCTGTCTCTTCCCTGGAGGGTTCTTGATTTAAAAATACTAGTCGGCCACGCCCTCTCCGGTATGTTTTCATGACAATGTATCTCACGCTCATTGTTGTCATGGTAACGGTTAGGTTCCCCTGTCCTGGTGACGGAGCAGCAGCGGCTCTACCTCCTCCAG